GAGAGGAGCAACTGAAGGGCTAAAAATTGGACCCAAAATGAGTGTTTTGAAATGCCAAGTTTCTTTTATAGAATCATAGAATGGTCTGGGTTGGAAGGGACTTCAAAGATCATCTAGCTCTAACCCCCCTGCTATTGGCAGAGACACCCTCCACTAGATCAGGTTGCTCCATGCAAGCTTTTGCAGCTGGTAGACAAACAGCATCTCCCTGTTGGATTAGAACTCCAGGGCATCTAGCATGCTATGTGTTCACACCAAAATCTCCCTAACAGCAGCTTGTTCACTTTGACCCAAATGTTCAGATCAAGTACACAGAGAGAGAAGTTATTTGCACAAAATCTGACTGCGCTGGATGCTTAGTCTCTCTGAGGCCTGCCAGGATACTAATGACTACATATAGTTCACAGTCACTTCCCCGCCCTGCCTTCCTCCTCCGAAGAGTTTCACTTCAATATAAGCCACCAAGAAGAGTGCTACTTAATATTGTGACACAAGACTACAAGAGATGCCTTCATGAATGGAACACAATTACAGTTTATAACAATGCCACCATTTAGCATCACTTTCTTCTAACTTTAACATATTTTAACTTTTTTCCCTCCTGTTTCTTTCTTATTAACAGCACTCACACAAACTCCCAGAAAGGCTGCACTGCTAGCAAAGTGCACACCTTGATGATGATGGGTAAGGAGGGCTCTGTTCACCCTGTCAGCATGGCTCTCTGCCTTTGCACGGCTTGCTCATCAGTGGAGGGGGTCACAACGCAGAAGCATATCGTTTCCAGCAAAGTATCCTGGGGCTCTATCACTGAGTTGCAATTAAGGTGCAAAGCAGAGCAAAACCTTTCACTTCCTTCTACAGTCTGAAGAAGTGGCCGTTCTTGATGCAGCAGAGTTTCACCAGCAAAGCAGTAACAAGGCTGGGCCAGTGGCCTGACACACCAGACCCAGGCTCGCTATTTACACTAGTGATTTTTACAATCTCCCTTCCTCCTGCTGACATGCTTTCCTCACCTCGGATCTGGAATAGCAGGGAGGGCGTTTCAACATGGCGAAGGTGACCATCCTACCCTACAATTCCATATAAAACGCTGGCTGCAGGCCCCGAGTCTCCCCTCGGAGCATCACGGGCAGCGGCAAGCCTAAACCCATGCTACCAGGGGCATGTCACCGGACGGGCGTGGAGGAACCCGGGCGGTGTTGACACAAGCGGCCGCACTCCAAAGCCACGCCCGCCCCGCAGTCCCGGCCCTGGCCGCCCCGCTCGCCCGCAGCCGCCCCGCTCTACTCAGGCCGGACGGCAGCACCAGGCCGGGACTGAGGAGGGTGGCGGCCCCGACCCTAGCGAGGTCCTGCGGGGCGCTTCGACTCCGTCCACCGCCCTCCCAGAGGCTCCCCTCTGCTGGCAGCCCCTCCCGGGCGGACGGACGGACACCGCCCCGACCCCCCCTCCTTCCCTCCCTCCGGGAGGGCAGCAAGCACGCCCCGTAGCCGCAACACAGTTCTCGCTGCTCTTACCCAGCCCTGGCGAACCAGGACCCAGAGATCACTGCTGACGGCGACAGGGCGGGAATAAGCCCCCCCACCCCGCCAGCCGCGACGGCTGAGGCTTGGGGAGGCAGGGCCACGCCACTGCCCGCCCACCGGCTTGAACGGGCGGGCGGGGTTTGGCCACGGCAGCCCGCCCGGCGCTGCTGGTGCGGCCCCTCGCAGCCGGCTCCTCCCCGGCCTGCGGGCGGTGGCTCGCCGCTGACAGGTGGAGCAGGAGGAGCGGGGCAGCCCTGAGCTGTCAGCAGCCCTGTGGGGGTGGAAAAACTGGGGAGTGGGGGGGAAGTGTAGTTTAAAGAAAAGGTGCTGTCGCCTCAGAAATTAAGGGGAAAACATGACTACGGAAACAATATTACAGGGAAAAATCCAATGTTACTACATTAACAGCCCGCGCTGAAACACTGCCTTCAGTTTTGATCATTTCTAAATGGGAGCAGACACTTAGAATAAAGTGAGTAGGAAATTACCGATATATTTAAAGGTGTCTTTAAATGTAGAGGCTTAGAATATTTAGCTGGGCAAAGGGGCAAGCCATTCCAGGAACAAGGAAAAGTGTAGGGTGTATTCCCATGGCTGCCAGTCCTGGGCTGGGTGGACAGGGGGTGCAGGCCACGCGTGGATGTGAGGGCACTAGGAAGCTATAGGAAGCAGAGACATACAAATCCCAGTCTCCTTCTGACCCAGGTACCTGAGAAGAAGGGGCAGGGGTGAGCCTCGAGGCCATCTGCATAGCAGCCGAGGTGCTTCTGCATCCTCTCTGGCTCTCCAAAAGGAAAATTACAGACCCTGGTGTTCCACAGTGCCCTGGGTTGGACTGTGTCATCTGCAGGATGCCCCATGTGCATTAAATCCCACAGAGTAAACAGCGCACAGGACGTAATTGCTGGGAACACTGTCTCCTCCACAAAGACCAGCTGCTCTAGGGAAGGGCTGCAAAACTTGGGAAGTGCAAGTTTATTTCGCCACAGCATAGACCTTGGTCATCACTAATACTTAAAAATAAATAGAGCAGTGGAAACCTTAATAACAACCTAACCAAATCACACTAATAGTAAAGCGCATTAAGCTGTCAACACAATAGAGTGAAGCTAAAGGCCTGTAGTAGATAAGACTACCCTTTACATAGGTGGCTCCTCCTGTGTCTCAAAGCTTGCTGAAAGGAGAGGCAAAATAACCTCGGAGACTTATATGCCTATGTATAGTTCTTATGTTAATTGATGCTTGGAAATCTCACTTTCATAAATTAAAGTTACTAAGGAAAAAATACATTCTTGATATGCATATTTGCTTCAGAAATGTTGTACACATTAGCAATGATTTTACTTTCTACATGCGCAGGAGTTTCATCCATGCTGTTGGCATACTGAAGCTGATCCAAGATGATTCCACTACATGGTGTGCTAATGAGAGTATAATGCACGTCCCTTCTGAATTAAGGCCTCACCTTGATTTTTGTCTCCAAACATTTGTCATATAAATTTTATTGATTGAGCCCAGTCACTCCTGATTTACAAAGCTTTAGCTGAGCTCGCTGTCAGATTTTCTCCAGAAAATAATACATCTTTTGCTATCTGATTTAAAATATGTACTTTCCATTAATCAATAATTCCCTTCATCAGTGAGAATACTTTATCTGCCGATAACTGCTCTTGGTACTTTTTTTTGGAGGTAATGCACAGACATTGCTAATCAATGTTCATTTGAAAGAGGTATCCAAATGCTTTCCTAGTGATACTGGGTGTTTTATGAACAAAATGCTGGTGCTCACCTGCTGTCAACTCACTTATCTTCAGCATTCACCTTTTATTGTTAAATAACTAAAGATCTTTGTGATGCAATTCTTAAAAGTAACTGGTGGCAGCAAGCATATTACAGCCTGGAAGGAAAAGCTGGATTATAAAACAAAATTTTCTTTAAAATCTTGTCTATACCAGGAAAATATAATAATATTTTCATATTCTTCAATATAATAATATAATTATGAAGATACAGTTAATAGACCAGCCATAATGTCATACTTATTGATCAGATACTGCTAAGAGTGCAGTACGTCCTTAGAAAATTTTTAACTCCTATAGAAAAGCCGTTGACTGTGAGAATGTGCTCTGTTTTACCCTTTAAATGAAGCAGGAGGATTCCTTCTATTTTCTGCATGCTTTCCTCTGCTAGCAGTGGTGTATGGACAGGAACTGTAAAGAAGCAGCCTTTAATTGTTATTGTCAGAGGTGCTGAAATGGAGTGCTGCCAAACAATTCTGTCTCTAAACTCATTGGCTTCTTTCTAGAGAGTTACCTGCGGACTGGGGACAGACTTACATATTTGCTTACCTTTCCTGTTGCTTTTGGAGCATGATTAGATTTCAATTGATTAAATGAAATGGGGAAAGCTCTGGGGAAAGAAAGGGGAAAATGTTGAAACCTGCTATGCGGTTCATAGGCTCAGCATACCACAGAGGATGCTCTGAACATTCACTGACTGAAGATCAGAGTATTTGCCAATTATATTCTGATGCTGTGTTTAAAACTTAAGGAGATGTCATTTCAAACACATACTGTTTGAAGATCCATACTCAGTATGGTACCTGATGTTTGAAAGAATTGGAAGTTAAACAACACCAACATAGTGTGATTTTGAAAGAGCACACCTTACTCCTAGCCCAGAATCTGAATCCACTCCACCTTTCTGAATATATTTCTGTCTACCATCTCCTGCTCTTGCCCTGGCGCTGAACTGACAGGCACATCAGCCCAGCAGCATGGGTGTCACAAGCATCAGGGGCTACCGGTAACATAGAAATGAGGCACTCATTTCCGTCCAGCTCCCTGTGCCTGCACAATGCATGATGAAATGAAGGGGAATCAGCCCAACCCTGCCCTTGTATTCCTGCTGAGTGTCCTCTTTTCAAGGTGTGAGCGATTCCTATGTGTTTTTCTAATTTACCTTGTGGATGAGTTTCACTGTCTGCTATCACATTTTACTTGCATGCCTTTAACTTTTGATAGGAAAAGCAATGCTGCCAGTGTTTGGTACCAATAGCAAACTGACTGGCAGAGCTTCCCAGGTGGTTGTTACTGATGCATTCCACCATCAGGAACAATTCCCGTTACTGTTGTTATCATCTCCATTTGCTAATTTAATTAAAATATCTGCTTCAGAACCTGAAATGAGATTAGGTTTCTATTACACCCCATGCTGTACAAAATTATGACGGATGATGGTTTCCAGCCTGGACAAGCTAATGGATTAATTATATTGCAGAATGGCCTGTAAAACCTATTTGTTTGTGGTTTTGTCTGTTGGGTTTTTTTTTAAATGCATTGGCTATTTGCATGTTATTTAGTCTGGTACTTTCTCTCTAGCAGCAGTAATTAACATGTTAGAATGTTTTAAATAAACAGAAAATATTTGTGCTCAATATTGATAATGTTTAAAAAAAAAATAAAAATAAAAAATAAAAACAATAAAAAACAACCAACCCAGGAAACTTCCTTTAAGTTTCAAAGACTGTATTATACTTTCATAATGAAATGAGATGACATTATTGTTTCAAAGCCCAGTCTTTAATTAAGTACTGCCTACAAATACATAATCTTTCTAACTTCAGCCAGACCATTTTGAAATTACAAAGAGTTATAAATGACATACAGTTAAATGGTGAAATATTGTTCAGATGAAGAAATACAGGTCCACAGAAGGAAATATATTAAAAATAAGAGTATTTATGGACTTTGAGGTCAGCAACTAGCTCTGATACAATCTGATCGGTTTTCATTTGGAAAATGAGGTCATTGTTGAACAATTAATCTTCATCATCTTACAGCACCTCCTTGTTTTCATTTTATAATTCATAATTATCTTCATTGCTTTTTGAAACCATGGAGAAGAAAAAAACAAACAATCATTCAAAGGGATCCTAACAGAATTTGGATAGATAAACCAAATAGACATCAAAAGCAAGGGCAGATTGGGAGTTATAAGGATGCTGAATATATTGTTTAGTGATAGTTGTGAAATGTGGTGTCAGAAAATGGGGAAAGCAATCCTGGCTACTTCCAGAGTTTTAGCAGCTTTTCCTTCTCACTTGCTTGCTCTGCCACTGTCACTGTACAAATCAGTCCTCTGGGCTCTGTTTTTGCCTTTCTCCGTAATTCCTGCCTGCTGTTTAGCCAAAAAGGAGATGTAGCAACAATCACACGGTGTTATGGCATAGTCCTTGTACAGTGGCATAGGTGGTGGTAACCCATCAGGAGAATAAGGCTCATCCACTTCAACAGAAGAAAACTATAAAGACATATTATATGGTGAGGCTCAAAAAGAAGTGGCCAGTTAAGTGTGTTCATGGCAAATACCCTCTGTGATCTGTTGAAGACCCATAGAAAATATATCAAAAAACAACTAGAAACTCAGTGGAAGTTCACTTTCTCTATTGCTTTGGCTGCAGTGAGTTCAGAGCAAAAGGCATTATTGAAAGATGTTGTTAAGGTGCTCCTACAACCTGACTGAATTTGAGACTTGCAGATTTCTATATAGCTAAATGTCTAAACTTCTATTACATGCCTTGTTTAAGCTCAGTGCCCCACAGCTGAATATCTAGTGCAATTTTAGATTCCCAGATGTGCCCTGTCTAAATGCTGCTTCATTGGTGCTGGATGCTATCCCATGTAGATGTAGCAGGTTGCCTAAGGCATCTTAGGTGTCACTAGACAAATGATTCATATCCTGTTAGTATTCACTAACTACAGCCTGAGCTTGGAAAGACATTCTGGCTATGCTATCATCAGTGCATAGGCTTTTACCATAATTATAAACACCTACCCATCACATTAAATTTAAGAGTCTTAATCTAAAAACTCGTCCCACAGTCCAGGTCTTTCAAGATGTACCACAGCTTCCCTATATGTTTCTATAGTAATTTAGGACCTGAATTTTTCTAAGAATCCGATCCTGCCTTTCACTCTTTAGCCTGGTTGCTTGGGTTTGGTACCTTTATTGTCAAAAATCTACAGCTATATGAAGTAAGGGTCAGATTTTTGCCTTCTGCTACAGCATGAGCAAACAGAGGAACAGCAGAAGTAGCCGTGGCTTTTGTCCTAAGAAGCAGTGAAGATTAATACAGCAAACTGGACACTGAGAGAGTGAAGTGGGACTGCGTGACACTCCAACTCCAGACATAAGGCTTCATAAAGGTCCCAGTTTAAAAACACCAACATTTTACAGTCACTTTCTATTCAGGACACCCCTGAAAATAACACAGGCCCTCTTTCTCATCTCCTTCCTCCATACATATGCTTTAGTGTTAAATATTTTGAATACCGGTATTTTTTCTGACTGGGGTCTTAAGATTATGGTTAAAACCAAAGAGTTTGAGATAAACAGATATCAGAACAGATTACAACATCCCAAAGCTATAGCTCGTTTGTACTAGTAGAGGAAACTTTCTTGCCATGCAAAAAGCATAATGATAAGATAAAAAAGAGGGGAAAAAGGTTTTACCATTTAGTTTATTGCATACATTAAAACAGGCAGCTGCTACAAGAATCACAGTATTGCAATGATTTCCCACAGAATATCTGCTGCACAATTCCTCTCTTTTGTTCTTACACACGTGGGGCCTGATTCAACTGTCTGCAGCACCCAGTGAAAAACTATCCACTTTTTTCAGTAGGCCATGGGGCATCTGCTGGTTTCTTACTGTTAGTTGCATGCTTTGTGTTGTCTGTTCTCTTTGTGTTTGTCACTCAGAAAATATGCAGCTGACTACGAGATGGAATGAGCTGTTTTAGAAGGCACTAAATATTTTAACAACTTTCAAACCTAGAACAGTTTTACATACCATTAACAGAAAAAGAAGACAAAATTATTAGAGCTGCTATTGGGCTGCTTGTTAATTTTGTATAGAAGAGTCACTACTGCTTAGCACTTTTTTTTTCTGATAAAATGTTAATAATAATGAGGTAGAAAATAACTTTCTTATGAATAGTACAGAACTTCAACATGCAGCTTGCTGTTAAACAGAGGTCTCAATTTACCAGCATCTACAGATTTAAAATTGGCCTTGTGAAAGCATATAAAGATAGCTGATGTAAACTGAGAACCTATGCTGGCATTTTTTGCACAACCCAAGTGTGTAGGCATATGTTGTGTCTGTAAGCAGACATACTCATTTCTTTGGAAGCAAGCAAACAAAAGAGCATGTGGAGTCTCAGGATTGTCAGGGAAAAGAAGACAAAAGAACAAAACATAAAACATCATGACACCTACTGGTATCTGGAGTTGGGGTATGCTGTGCATTCCATGTCCTCTTCCCATTTCTTCTCCCTGCCTTTATGCAGTAGGAGTAGAAAAGATACAGAGCAAGGCGAAAAGGGTGTTCATAGTTAAGGAGTGTCCTCCTTGCACACACAGATCAAGCAGGCACACATTCTATGGGTTTCAGTAAACATAATTCAGAATAGTATCTCCCATATGTAGCCATTGGCACAGGGGCGCACCCCTTGGGCTAGAAAAATAGTGTAAAAAATAGTGGTGTAACTGAAGAATAGTGTGGACAAGGTCTTCTTTGGAGTTTGCTACAGCTGATTTTCAAACGCTTGTTGGAATCACATAGTGCAAGACCTTAATAAGGTGTGTCTGCCATGTGTTGTGGAAGGTGAGTCACAGAATGGCATGTGTATTTAAATTGCGGATGTGCCCGAGCCAACTGTTAAAAAATGTTATAAAATAAGAAAAGAAATACTAGCTAAATGGATGTTGAAGAATATTCATGAGAATCTATATGTATGAAATAGCCTACAATATTTTCTACAGTGCATATGAAAGCTTTGGTCATTGCTGGTACATGTCTACTTAGATGTTCTGGAGCAAAAGATCCCATGAGTTAAAAGACTAGTTTTACAGCTTTCCTGAACCAGCGGTAGGAAAATACATAGATCAAGGGATTGCAGGCAGAATTGAAGTAAGCAAACCAAATTAGGATGTCAAACAGATCTGGGGGGGTAATGAAATCCAGAAGACTGTCTACCATAGTGTCAATAGTAAAGGGAAACCAACACAGGAGGTAGATTCCTACAGCTACCCCAAGAGCCTTTGCTGCCTTTCTTTCACTCTTAGATGCTCCCACGTGTAGCTGAGACAAAGTACTTTTACTCATGTTGTTTGTCAGCCTGGCTTGTTTGTTAGCCACAGTAAATATTTTTACATACAAAACTATCATTACTATGCAAGGGAAGAAAAATACTGGGAAGTTCAACCACCCCCAGAGCTTGTTGAACAGCAGCTGACAACTACCAATACAGGGCATGTCTTTCAAGAAATGGTCCAGTCCTTCTACAATAGCTTTAGTATAGAGGAGGATAGAGCTGTAAGTCATAGGCACTGCCCACCCCACCCCAATGTAAATGGAGACCACTTTGATGGTGAACTTGGTGGGGTAGAGCAAAGGTTCACAGATAGCACAGTACCGATCAATGGAAATGAAACACAGATGAAATATGGAGGTCAAGCAAAAGACTGTGTCCAGAAATGTGTGCAGCCTACAGAAGTCATCTCCAAAATACTAGCAGCTCTCTACAGACCGAATGGTGCTGAAGGGAAGCACAGTCAGCCCCGGGAGGAGGTCAGCAAGGGCAAGGGAGAGAATCAGGAGGTTGGTGGGCGTGTGCAGGACTTTGAAATGGAAAACGATGATGACAACAAGGAGGTTCCCCAGCAACGTGATCAGTGTGCCCAAGGCACAGGCCACATAAATGGCCAGCTGGACTCCAAAGGGGTATAAGGTCCTGTAGCAGGAGCCATTCACCTCGTAGCACAAGGTGACGAGCATCTCCTCCTTAGCACTGGGACTCTGGGGTGAACTCACGCCAGCCTGCCCACGTCCCATTGCTTCCCCCAGCTCTGCCACAAACCTGGAAAAGGATTCACCTCCCAGCAGAGGTGCCAAATGACTAACCTGAAAAAAGGTGATAAAAAAGCAGATTAGAAGGAGAGATGTCTTTTAATCAAATACTTTTATTAAAACCATCAGGCAGTTTCTGTATTTCAAGTGAAAAAATGAGCCTGATTTATCTGCTTTATATCTCTACTGAAATAAAGCAGCTCCGGATCAATGTATTCAATTCTTGTGGCAACATTTTTATATTACATCTTGGTTTTCTTTCAGCCAATACCATGAATAGTGCAGGAAATGCAGCAAATACAGAGGTTTGTGAACAAGCAGTCAATAAAGAAAAGGTCTGCCTTAGAAAGAAAACCAGTGCTGAGTAACAGGTATTGCAAACCAAAGCTCCTTAAGGGATTTGAAAGCTTATTCTAGTATAATGGTACACTAGTTCTTTTGAATTTCCATGAAAAAGAAGTTCCAATTTAATTATGGATCTTTTTATTAAGTAGAAACTGTGAAGTGATAATTCTAAACAAAGTAATATCTGATTGCAAAGGCAAACTCCTCAGGCCAAGTGGCTCATTTTATAGTGTTCTGGCTATGGGGATATATGTCGATATCCACTGTGCTGATGACATGAACAGGCAAGGCAAACAGAAATATTGTTATATGCCCTAAAGATTGCCCTTGCTTTTTACTTATGAAACTGCTATTTAAGTTTTAAGGTATACAATTTTTTTATTTGAACTGCAAGAAACATACAATATTAATGTATTATAATGGATTATTCCAGTAGTCTTTTAAACAAATCAGATAACTGAATTATATGATTTTTGACAGTAAGACAACTACAGTTAAACACATACTCATCTATAGGTACTATATGTATTTTTGTTCTTGAAATGATTGATATAATAGATGGAAATTATTCCCACTTTTCCTATCCTTCCCAGCAGCAGCAAAACATAATAGCAAACTTCTCAACTGTATTTCCATAAACTTTAAAATCAGGAATACTTGCAGTAAAATTTCTCTTTTCATAGAATGAAAGCTGTACTACAGTGGACAGAAATCCTTTTCTATCTACATGTCTACTGCCTGAGTGGAAAGCATGAGATGTCATATAAACCAGATAGAGTCCCTATAGGTGACTAATGTGCCTTAGGGGCACAGCGAGACTGTTGTGTATTTGGCAAAAAAATTGCCATTTTCTAAGAAGAAGTTTAAATGCACATGTGCTCAGCTGCTATTGAAACTCTAAAGATTTACATCAGTGTTTGCTGTGAATTTTCTTTCTTTGTGTGTTCCTTCAAGAAAACACAGTTAATGCCAGCTCATCCTGGGGGGCATCAGTGACTCTCACCCTGTGGAGGATTTCCTTGCCTGTTCCTAAGCCTCAGTCTCCCTAAAACCATGCCTTTCACACCAGAAGGAGGTACATCAGATACCTGTGGATTTTCCTTGCTTCCCCATAGCAGTCCCCATTTCTAGTCTGCAATATAAGTTGGCAGAAGAGGTGGATTCAGCAGCTTTCACTCCTGGATGATTTTGTGACATTCCTTTGACACAATGGTCCGTTTTAACATTGACATTACAGAGACAAATATCACTCAGGAAAGTCCTAAATTTTTCATCTTAGGCAAGATATGGGGTTTCAAAACAAACTTCCCATTTCTCAGTGAATGTTTTCCTGATGCTCAGATCCTCCACTCTCTTCTCCTGCTCAGTCAGGGCAATCTCATACAAGTTCCTTAAGGGACTCTGATGGTACATCTCTCAGAACTTGTCCTCTTCTTCCCTGCTTTGCAATTAGTTATTTTACAAGGTCTCCAATATGACCGCCATCCTTCATCTTCCCTACTTTGAGTTTCTTAGGTTAAGAGGTTGCCTGCTGCCCAGCTACCCTCGTATCTCTCTTGATGCTTTTCAGATACACTGTGCCAAAGGCTGCTGATGCCCACCAGAGAGACTGTTAGAATAACACTGAGGCAATTGTTTAGACTGAATTTTTAATATGAGAAAGATCAAAAGTCAGCATCGATTTCCCTATCATTCTGTTTTATATCAGGACATGTACAGCAGCTATTAGAATAGGAACTGAAAAACTCCTACAAGAGCAAGAGCAAGATTTTTTTTTTTTTTTCAGTTTTGCTTCAACAACAATTTAAGGCAGCATTTCCACAGTATTAAATACCCCAGTGCAAAAAGGTATTGCTTGGGCATAGTTCTGTGAAACACTGTGCTTAGCTGGAGACTTGCTCTAAAACTTCAGAGTTTGGTTGGGTTTTTTTTGCCTTTTCCCGTTTCCCCGTTTCCACATTTTAATAAGTGATCATTTATATTAAGATTGTCAGAGGCTTTTAAATAGCTCTTGATATTAACAATAGAGTTTTTGTTCTTGATGCTCTGACATTTTCATTAGTTTTAATTCTTCCTGTATTTTGTATGTAATAAAGTATAATTCTTATAGAAGTACTTTGTCATTGAAATTCCAGGTACAATCATGTCTTGTCGAAATAGTTAACCTGTCTAGCTAGGTATCTGTCATGATGCTTCTGAAGTGATTATCACCACCCCTGAAAGGAACAACATGAAACTAAATGATCTCAGCTTGCCCTTTCTGTTCACATTACTTGTTGGAATTGGTTTGCATTTTTTCCCCTGCCTTCTCATCTGGTCATGGGAAAAAAGATCAGTTCACTATTAAGAGAAGGCTCAAATAGTGACAATGTAGGTCTTTATTCTTTGGAACAAGAAGAGCATTTAAAATATACCAGTTCCAAATGTAAGGATGCTATCATAAAATAAAAAATGCAATGATACTCAGGATGTTTGTTGCATTTACCCTTCATTCTTCAGACAAAGCTGCTGGATAGTCTCAAACTCAACTTCTGTTGAATGTACTATGCAGCCTAGTATGCCACAGGAAAACACACACACACAAAAAAAAATAGAAGGGTAAGTGTGCTATCTGATATAGTTTGATCTGCAGTGAAGACATGCATAGACACCATCTTCTTATATTGAAGCTCCTGGAAATAATGTCTAAGATCTAAATTCATCTAAGTAACCTTTGAGTCTGACTTCTTTATAGAACAAGACAATTTCAAAGGATTATGGACTTTCTAAGAGGGCCATCATTAGTGCCCCTTTGCTGTGAAACTTTTCCTCACAGCTTCTAAAAGAGTTACTCTGGGATCCCTAAATAGAATATAGTAGCATGAGAAGGCTATGGGCTTACTAAATTGACCTAGATTGAGCTAGCAAACATAAATCTTCAATCTTGCAACACGTCTATTACAGCCATATATCGCTTATAGTGCAGCCTTTTGTTCTCCCTTCTAGTAGTGAACAGTCGTCATCTCTGGAGAAATCACATTCTGTATGAGTGTTTTATCATTACTGCAGAGTAGCAGAAATGTTTGTGGAGTAAATACTCACTCTGCCCTCATTCTGTTAGGTGTAGTGCACCCAACCTCTGTGCAGACAGAGTGTCTCCAAAGAGTGCAGTATATGTATTTTCTTCATATTTCTTACACGAATAGCAACATTTGCCCCAGTTTTGAAACTATTGAAAATTCTTGTCCACAGTACTCATAAGAAATTGTTCCACTTGCTGCATCCCATTTTTATGTGCTTTTATGTTTTCCTGCTCTTTGCTACACTGGTCTGTGTTCTGTCCATAGAAGTGCTTTATAGGACACGCCTATTTGAGAAGTTTTAGAAGCAGTATCTCTGTAAGTTAACTGTGGCAGCTTGAAAGTGTTAAAAGTGGAAGTGAAGACAGAAAGAGAACTCCTCACTGGTGTTGTCCATATCGGTCCAAATTAGTCAACTCAAGGATTAAAATCAAGGAGATTGTGGATTAAAAAAGAGTTTTAAAAACAGATATTTTAGTTCAGGAAGTTAATAAAAAGAATTACTAAATTCAAATATTTTATCTGTTATCTGAAATTAATGACTCACATATTTGTTTCAGTCTAAGATTTTTACAACCAAACTTAAAATGTTTTTCTTTCCGTTTATTGATGTTATTGTCAATTTATTGTCTCCTTTTTTTTTATCATTTATCTGAAATTTGAAATTAGTAATATCATCATAAAGTGAAAAATGCCAATAATTTACCACCTCAAAACATAATCTTTTTCTGTTTAAACTTTTTTTTCTGAATGTGGACACAGAGTGCATTTTATAGTGAAGCTGGTGTTTAGCAATGCAGCAGAGAAACTGTGAAAGATATGACAAACGTCAAAATGCACACAGAAAAAGGTTGAATATGACATGATCTGATTCAAGAGTTCTCTGAAGATGAATTCATTAAAAGTAAGTGTTGAAGGTAATCCCACGGCTGCAAAAGAGGCCTGCATGTACAACCTATTTACCCCTTCCCCAGAGATCCCAATTCTTTCTGCTGTTGTTTGCAGTGAGCAAAACGCATCTCAACTGGGACTAACCTAATCAAAGCAAGCCATATGTCAATAGTGTCTGTTAATTATAGAATCATAGAATAGTTAGGGTTGGAAAGGACCTTAAGATCATCAAGTTCCAACCCCCCTGCCATGGGCAGGGACACCTCCCACTAAACCATATCTCCTTATATCCAATCTAAACTTCCCCTGTTTAAGTTCACATTTCAAAAGAAAAATTAGAAACTTAAGGTATTTTAAGCTGGTAAAAAAGAAAAGGAGAAGGAGAAGTGTTGCACTGCACAGCACTGGCAGAACAAAATGAATGAAAAGTTAACTCTGAAATACAAGCCAGCAAGTAGCCCATCCTGTGAAAAGCATCAAACGGCCTTCAACCATCTGAATGTGGTCCATGCAAAGCTGCCTTTTTACACTGGACAACTTTTTAGTGTCACAAAGTGGACAGCAGTGGCTGAACTCTCCAGGTCAAGGAGCAGGAGAGAGCATGGCAGGTATTAGTTTAAATATCCTTTTGCATGTTAAAATCCAAAGCTGCTTTGAGCGCTGTTTTTCTCCATCCTACATTTTGGTGTAAATGTGTAATTAGAATACAAGTGAAAGTACTTCTCCTTTCTTACCAGGAAAAAAAATAATAATTCTTAGGGTTTATATAGCTAAAAAGTCATGGGTATCTCTTGAGGAGCTGCACATCCTTTTCTATATCAGTTTTCTCTGCAGTGCTTCATTGCTGCTTTGTTGCTGCTGCAGCCATGTAGAGTGACACACAATTGATCCAGTAGAAACATGATTTGAATAGGTTACCTACATGGAAGAATAAGTAAATTATTTTAATATAATAGTTACAGCTGTATATGCCTTCTCGTCAGGAGTTTCTTGGAACAGTTACTTTTATTACTTAATTATAACTAAAACTGATTAAAATTACAAAAAAAAAACCCCAAACTATACCTGAAAATTTGATGCTGACCAGTGAGCATTAATTTATCTGAACTTATCAGACTTCTTTAGCACATTTTAATTTTGAATGGAAAAATAATGTCTGTAAATTAAAAACTAAAGATCTAAATTAAAGTTTAGATCTTGAAAAATTTATTTTGGAAATGCCACTGTAGTGTCTCTAGAGAATTACATTTGGATGTTTTATGTTATTGCTTACTTAACCCCCAGATCATGCCTGCCTTCAGAACCATAGTTATATCAAGTGACTTCATGCTAAATATTTGTTACGTGCTCTGCAGTAT